CCGTGCCCGCCCGCCCGCTCGCGTCGCCGCCGCCGCCGCCGCCGCCGCTCTAGCACAGGCGGAGAACAGGCACACAGACTCTGCGAGCAGTTTTCGTGCAACTCAAAATTAGCGCGGGCAGGTTTCACATCGATAATCGGCGGCGAAACGGCCCCGGCGGCCGGGGGACGGGCCTCGGCCCCCGGCGCCCCCGGGTTTATGCCCGCTAACAAAAGAAACCCGGGACCTGTCTCCCAAATAGCCATCTTAGGGCTTCAAGGGTAAGGCAGAAGCTGTAGGCCTCACGAAGGGGCCTAATGGAAGATGGAGAGATGTGGGAAAGGGAGCCCAGCCGGCCCCGGCCCCGGCCCCCCGGCCCTGCGGCGTCGCTGTCCGGAACACTACTATTGATCCTTGGAACTTTTTTTTTCTTTTTCTTTTTTTTTTTCGTGTAAACGGACCGCGTTGAGATTTAAAAGGGGGCGACAGCGGGACTTGCGATTGGTTATTGTCCGGGCTTCAAAAACAAAACAAACCCACCAGACCCCCTCTCCCGCTCCCCCCGCCCCCCCCCCCCCCAAACAAGTGCTGCAAAACCCAGGGCTCTCGGGTGCAAACAGGGATACGAGCAGGCTCTGCTGCTTGGTAGCTCGTAGGGGTCGGTCTGAAACGCCCATTGATGCCTGGGTATCTGCAGATCTCTGTAGAATGGGTATTTATTTCATGGTGAGGTTAGAGTTTTCTTGGGTTGTGCATTTGCAGACAAGCGTGGTTGTGTTTTTAACAGGTTTCTGAGAAGAATCAGTGGGGAGAAATTGTTGAAGAGTTCAACTTTCCCAGAAGTTGTTCTAACGCTGCCTTTGCTTTAAAACAGTATTACTTGCGGTGAGTAGTAGTGACTCTTGAACAGTATTTGGAAATGAGGGACTTATGGGGAGATTTGTTTTTAGACATAAAAAAATAGCGCGCGCGCACACACACACACACACACACACCCCAAACCTTGCACACCAGTTTCTAAACTCATGTTAATTTTAGTCTGGGAAGCATTGAATAGCCACAAAGTGAGGTTTTAGGATGGTGGGAGCTGTCCTCACCTATTTTAAGATTGTTTACATTTTTTTATACGGAATCATTACAGGTGACACCCTACCTCCATCTTGATAAACATTCTTTTGTGACATTGTTATTGATTGCTTGATAGCCAAAGAGGGGCAGAAAGGTGATGTTTAGTAAAAGAGTTAAGATAGTTAATGAAACTTTGTATCCCTTGGGAAAATTTTTTCTTTGTTTTGGAAACTTCTTTGTCTTTTTAAATTCTGACTTTAAGATTTTTATAAAATGAAATCTCTTGTGTGGAACCTTGTCACTGAGTAGTTTTTCAGTGCAGTATTTCTACATAGCATAACATGCTGGTGCCTGAGGTGACCAGGATTGATTTTTTTTTTTTTTTTTTAAATATCAAGTCACTTAAAAACATTCAAAAGGATTATTATATAGTTAGGAGAATTAGGGATACTATGAAAAGAAATGCTATGATTTGGATTTTTCTTCCATTCTCCCCTTTATTTTGACTTTATTTGACAAAGTAAATTTCATATTCAGTTGGTATGTGATAAGTTTAGATGGTATATTTTGTGACCGGCTTTTTTTTTTTTTTTTTTACCAGTTGTTTTCCTAGAAATATTTTTATATTTTAACTTATTATGAGGTCCTCTTTTATTTTTAATGTTTACTTAGTCATAGAGGGTCCTTAGTTGGTGGTGGTTATTTAAAACTAAAATATTGCTCTTTATACTTATTATTTTATAATACTGATATTATAAGATGGCCTTTTTAAAATAATGTGGCTTCTGCATAATTTGAGCTTGGCATTTATTATTGCTCCAAATGTAATAGCAGTAGTGTGGATAGTCTGTGTTATGTTTAGCATTCTGAAATAGGGATGTAGTAATTACACAGGTGTACTTTCTATTGGCTATCATAGATTGACTTCAGGCTTGAAGCTGAAGAGTTCACAGAACTTTGTGGGTAGTTACTGAGCTATACAGAAGTCTAGAAAATATATGGTTAGTTGTTATCTACTGTGTGTCTGTGATGTGTGTTAGAGTACATTTTTAGATAAAGGACTAAAACTGAAAGCAAAGTAGAACAAAATTATCCTCCAAAACATTGCTTTAATAATATGGTAAGTTGATACTTTATATTTATAGTGATATTCACTTGCTAATTTTCATTTATAATATTGAGAGGAATACTCTTAATACATACCCTGGCTTTCTGCTCATCAGTTTGAACCATTTGGGTTTTAGACTGTTTAAAATGCACATTTAAAGTTATGCCTGATGCTTACAGAATTGATTGAATGATTGAACTTTAATATCCGTAAGGTACTATATGATATATATGGTTCATGAGAGGTGTGTTTTTCTGAAGAATTTACATTCATTCTAACAGAGTTTTAGACTAATAATTTTTTACAAGTTACATACATATTGTTTTTCCTGTTTTGATTTCTATCTTGAGATCATATCCACTGGTTATACTTATAGGTACCATTTTTAACTAGATAGTTTCAAGGTTTGCAACTTTTTACATTGTTCTCAGATCAATTTGAGCTTTATGTTCTTATTAGAAGCTGCTTTTTGATCTGTGTCTATAGCTAAACTTTTTTCCTTCAGATGTCACTCTCTAGGTTTGTTTTTGCAGGGTTGTAGCTAGGCTACTAGGAAAAAGGTTGGGCATTTGTTTTGGAAAATAAAACCATGTGAAGATTTGCATGGTTTCTAAAGAAATACATTGGTCAAAAATTGGGTACTACCAAACTTGAAAGATTTTTTTTTTTCATAGTGGTATAATATTGCACAGTAGAGGACATGTATTATGCTGGATTTTACACCTTCCTCTGAAAAATCTTAACTGGCAGACAGGATGCCAAGCTTTCACAGTGATTCTGTTACTTAACCATAAAAGTGTCTCTTCATAGTAAGAAATAGTAATCAAGTGACTTTGTAAGTTTCCTCTTTCATATATCAAATTGAATGTCATAGTTTCTGATGAGCAGATAATGTGTTTTATAAATCATAGGTGAAATAATTTGACTTATAAGACTGTCCTTACATGTGGTAGTTCTCATTTACTCTACAAGTTTAATTTTTGCTGACATTGCTCTGTTATTTTATTACTAGAGGCCGGGTGCACAGATTCATGCACCGGTGGGGTCCCTCAGCCTGGCCTGCGCTCTCTCACAATCCAGGACCCCTCGGGGGATGTCGGAGGCCCGATCCCTGCAGGCCAGGCCAAGGAACCCCACCAGTGCATGAATTCATGCTCTGGGCCTCTAGTATGCATATGAGATCTTTGGTTAATCTCTTCCCACCCTCCCCCTCCCCCTACCCTTTGAGATTCATCAGTCTGTTCCATGTTTCCATGCCTGTGTATTGAGCGTCTGCCCCCTGGTGGTCAGTGCTCGTCATAGCTACTGGTCAAATGGTCGCTTAGGCTTTTATATATATAGATTAATTGGAGAATGGCTGTTAGCTCAGTATTTTATGATATATCTTCATGATATTACAGACATTTAGATAAGTAAGATCAAACTAGCATGCTGGCCATGTATATATTCTAACATTTTAAAGTTTATTTTGATACAAACATTACATAGTCATTAAATATAGAGACTTGAATTTAGTGATCTGCCAAAAGTTAGCTTGATTGTATCAAACATGTAGATTGTCTACAAAGATTTCTCAGAGTATAAAACTGAAATGATTATTTGTTTCAACGCTGGCATTTAATTTTAAAAATGTGTTTACTGATGTGTAAAAGTACTCTTTAAAAATTGATTATTAATCATCCATGATGTCTACATATTTTGTTTGCACTTCATTCCTTTCTTGGCATGTACACCTCAATATATTCCACAAAAGTTTATTATTAGATTATCCCTAAAGTGTAAATGCATAAGGTATAATTTCACAGTAGAGGACATGTATTATACTTCATAAATGGAGAAATTAAAGTGCAAAAAAAATCAAAATGGCATTGGGGCATTTATTAATTGGACAGAAAAGTTGTATTCCTTACATGTATTTAGTAATGTTTAATCTATCTATTATAAATTCAGTTTGTTAGTCACAAGTTATTTTAAGAAATTAAAATATAATTGGAAATTACATATGGTTAAACTTATGCCCAAGTGTATCTAAACCCATTGTGTTCTTTATTTATTCTGTGAATTTTTGTTGTTGTTCTGTTTTGGTATTAAGATTGGGGGTAAAAATATTATTCTTATTTCCATTAAGAATTTGAAGCCTTGGTATGAAGATTTAGGTAAATATTTCAAATACTTACTTGAAGAATTTTGTTTAACCTACTGACTCCAGTAGTACAGCTATAGTCAAGGCTAACTTGATGTATACATTATAAAATTTGATTTTTTGAAAGGAAGTAAAATATCTTAGACATTAAAAACTTATTGTACAAATTTATACGTTACTGGTTTTCTTATAACAGTAAATAATTTTTTGAAGCAATTTTATTTCTTTCCCCTGTCTCAGTATATTTTTATTGATTTCAGAGAGGAAGGGAGAGAGAGAGAGAGAGAGAGAGAGAGAGAGAGAGAGAGAGATAGATAGATAGAAACATAAATGATGAGAATCATTCATTGGATGCCTCCTGCACACCCCCTACTGGGGATCTAGCTTGTAACCTAGACATGTGCCCTGACCCAGAATCAAACTGGGACCTCCTGGTTCAGAGGTCGATGCTCAACCACAGAGCCACGCCAGTTGGGCACATTAAATTATTTTTTTTTACTCATACCTTTAGAATAGTCAGAGACTTAATTGTAGAATTCCACCCACCATTGTGAATTTTCAGTTGCATTGTAAGTTTATTCTGTTTCCCTTGGTTGATAAAGCCCTTCCTAAGTTATAGAGTTTACATTTCTTAGTTAAATAGATGGATACACTCATGTGTTCTGTGGTTAGTGTCCACCATGTAGATCACTTCTTTTAAGAGAAAACCTTTCATGAATTACTTGAGGTTAAGTGAAAGAATGCTTCAAGATTGTGATAAATATGCAAATAATACATTGAGTTTGTGAGTTGATAAAATTTATAAACAGATTGCTCTCCTTATTCAAGGAAGGAAAGTAAAAATAATATGGGGACTCGAAGAACAACTGTATCTAAATAAATTATTCACATATGTATTTAAATTTAATTTTTTAAACTGTATCCTTTCATTTTGAACAAACCTGATTTTGATATCTCCTGATATTCTGTTAAACTTTAAAGAGCATGCAGATTTGTTCAAAGGAAGACTAGAAAGTGGAGAAAGTTGAAAGACTGATCAGAGCTCAGCTAGGTTAGTGTTATGTCTTACCATATTTTAAGCAGCTTAAATTTGCCCCGAAGAAGAAACAAATCTCTTTCCAAGATAGATAGTTTACTGAAGTTAAAAATTTCACTGAAGATTCAAACTAACAACTCTTAACTCTCAAAAGTGTTTATATGCTTTTTTTGCATTTGTGTTTTCTGCCTCAGATGTTAACTAAAAATGTCTGTTTCTAAATAGGAGTACTCTTTTATAATGCCACCTCTACTCTGTTGTGGATTCAGTATTTTCATAGTTGGTCGTGTGTGACATCCACTATAACTTTGATAGACAAGTATATCTCTTCTGTGACTCTGATGTTCCCAAACTGAATGATATTAGAAGTTGGAAAGGAAGGAAAAACAAACATCTTAATTCATTGGAATTTAGGTGCATTAGTCAGCAAACAAGTATTCAATACATATTTGTAGGTAAAGTAGAGTACTTATTACTTGGTAAAGGCTGCTTATTGCTTATTTTTCAGAGTGGTATAGACCCTATTAAGG